TGCCACAGTTACAGACGAGTGCTGCTTGGATTGATGAGGCAGCTACAGCATCCATGTCGGTGCCAGCTTCACCCATGATCTCTGATGCTGATGACGAGGCGCCTTTACAGCAAGAGGCGCGTGGCCTGGTGCAAACCACGATGGCAGAGGGCGAGAGCACGTCACAGCCAGTCCTGCAGTCAGCAGCACAGCCAACCCCCACGAAACACGCGCCAACCCCGTCGGCCTCGATCATTTGCGTGCCAGTACCATCGGCCTCGGGTTCAACCTCGTCTCCGGCGCGATCGGCTGCAAGCTCAGCCTCGGGTACACTGCGGCGTAAGCGAGTGCCGCTGGCTGCTACCCCTGGGTCTGACGATCATGGCGATGGCAACAGCATCGCTACCAGCCCTGCTCCCTCAACATCCAAGCGAACGGCATCGGATGTCACGTGCACAGCTGCTGCTTCTTCCACAACGGCTCAGGCAGCGGAGTCGCCTCTTCCCGCAGCAAAACGAGCAGCATCGAGTGGCACGCGCACCACTACCGTTGCCGCTACTGCTACCACTCGCTCTGAAGCCACGATATCTGCTGCAGCTACGCCACCGAATCGACACAACGTCGCGCCAATATTTCGGTCGAAATCGGGGACAGAAAAAAAATATCTGATGCACCACGCGGCGGCTGACAAGTTTATTGGCGTTCTGAAGTTGATGGATGATTACTGCATGCGATGTACCATTCGACAGGCGAAACCCGTCCTGAAGGCCGAGCATCAATGCGTATCTAATCGTGTTTGCAAGCGGTGTCACTTCGGAGGACACCAGACAAGTGAATGTTTCGTGGGCTTCGCATATCCCAAATGGACGTGCTGCTACGCTTGTGGAATGCCAAAGGGGATTCGTGGATGGGATACATGGGATCACCGTTGCAGGCAGTCCCAGGGGCTGAATTCGGGCCTGAGCTGTATCCTCCTTTATTCGGACTGTCATCAGGGGCTGCGCGACCTGGCCCAGCGGATGGGCTACAACTTGAAGGAAATGACATTGAAGGATTTCGATACGCGCGACTTGTTTGTCAAGTGGCTGTACTCGTCCGGTCCTTGTCCATTTCCAGGGCGTGGGCATTGGCGTCTTGTGGAATTTGTGTTTGAAAGTGCGAGGATCCTGCTCCCCAATGAGGCGAAAGCCCAAGTCGGCCCCGACAGTTTTCGCTAAACACACACAGAAAGCTCTTTTGAGAAGCACAGA